GGAGTCGACCCAAGGACTGGGACACAGTACGACTTGTGAAGTGTAAGAGTGCGGGGACACCTTCATAAATAAGAGGAGGTTTGACAAGCATGCGAGTAGTCATGGGTCAAGGCAGATCCTATTCTTCTGCTTGAAGTGTGAGCGGGGCTACACGAGGAAGGATAATCTGAAGGTGCACTAAAATAATCACCACCCTTCATCTCTGGACGACTTGGCCAAGATCTACCAGGAGACAGAAGAAGAACACAAACGTGGAAAGGCTAATGCAGGGAGTAGGCAGGCTAACAAGGAGCGACAAAAGGATCGCCCTGACAAGCGCCGAGCTTCAGAAATGACGGAGGATAATGGGAGGCCCAAGGGGAAGTAGCCGAAGGCGGCAGAAGAGTCTGAAATGGGAACAGAGGAGCCATCGACCGAGGATGCCTTTAAATGGCCGGTACCCTTAACTCCTGGGCGGATGGAGACCGCGGATGCTCCTGAGTTGTCCCTTTCCCCGGCCTCATTGTCGTTGGTCGATCAGTGCCTTAGCCAACAGCCGCAATCCCTGGAACACAGATCTGGTGGAAAGCCGAAGGGAATGATGTCCATGGTTCAAGATCTGAAGTCCGAGAGTGGAAGTGAGGACGAGGAGGATGTGCGTGTTGTGCTTCATGGTGAGCCGAGTAATATCGCAGCCGGATCCCCTTCCCAGAAGATTAGCCTTCGGCGAGTCCTTGAAGGAAGTTCCCTGAAGCACCACATCAATTATCCTGCGACTGGTGTTGCGCAGGGTACCTCATCTCCCAAGCCAGCCTCAGCCGGATTGTTTAAAATCCATGGAGATGAACGTGGGTCACAGCGTGCAGTACCTGTCAGCACCCCTGACTTGGAGATAATGATGGCTGGAAAGGTCCGGCGTGTCAAGGAGGTGCACACCACATCAAGGTTCCAGAACGGTGTCAAAGTTTCTGAAGAAATCACTGAGAGAACCTACGAGGTCAACTTCACTGCCGGTTTTGTTCTTCAGTAGCTACGTATCTGCAAAGTCATCTTAAGTGTTATCTTGATTAAGAACCTTAAGAACTGCAAATTAAGTTTTGTTTTCATGACCTTAAGGGCGTGATTTATTTATAGTTGTAACTGTTGTTTAGAGTTACTTAAAGTTTAAAGTTACTGAAACCCTTTTTGTATTTTAAGACTCTTAAGTCAGAGTTGTGTTTATTAACATGAGAACCTTTTGCGTGTAAAACAGATTTTCATTGTATAAGGTATATGGATGTTTGTGAGACCTTATTTAAATCATTTTGAGAGTCAAATAGTGAACTGAAATTGCCAGCGAAGTAGATGTTTACTTAAGTATTCCTGCAACTGTTTACCTCAAGTTCATTACCTTAAGTGACTAGAGTTGTGTCAAAGTTTACCTAAAGTTTATTACCTTAAGTGAACAGACCTTACCCTAACTTACCTCAAGTTTCACCTTCACCTTAAGTTTATTGCCTTAAGTGAACATTATTTTGACAATTATTGTTTCATGCTAGCAGCAAGCACATCCTTTGCTTTTAGTTATATCAGTTTTGAAGACCGAGGACGGCCTGAACTTGAGGGTGAGGCTGTGTGGCGCAACGGTGTGCTTGCAGCGAGTTATTATTTATAGCGCGAGCAGCAGTGAGCTTGCGCAGCGCCCTCTGTAGTTGGGTCCATTCGCACGTTCTAAAGCATGAGTTGATCACAGCGCGTCGTTGACTACAGACGTGAATTGCGGCGTCTCGTGGAGAACGAACGTGTGTGTGCGTTGTCGTGTTGCTGCACTGACGGGCTGACAACTGGGCGAGGACAGGAGGTTAGTAGCCGGAGACACACCGGGGATCTGAATTCATGGTCTGTGTGTTGCTACCTCGTGGGCTGTATCCACTGGGGCCTCGGGAGTCCTGCCGCCAGTAACTTGGGGTTGCCTGATAGGAAGTCGCAAAAGAGCGTGGGGGAGCGCTGCAAATAGTCCACCCTTGACGCAGGTGCCGTTTCATCCAGTAATTATTGTTGAATAACTCTTACATTCTAATTGAACCCAATAGAGAATTAAAAGAACTTGATTGTCGTTGTTGTCTGATGAATAAAGGTGTCAGTGTCTGTTCCTTCATCGTTTGTTCAGTCTGCCAGTTATTGTCCCTCCCTTAAGTGAACACCCTTAAGGAGACTACTTTGTACATGTTGGCGGTATATGGCCTTCCGAACGGACGCATTCCCTAGGTCACCTAGATCACCGCTCGTCTAGGCTTACCAAAGGTTTAGTCAGGAGGCCAGGGCGACTTGAGTAAGGGCAGAAGGCAAATACATTTTACTGGGCGCGACACGAGCCGCCGCGGCGCAGTGCGGCGCTTATTTCCCAGCTGTTTATTTCCTCTCTACCCTCGGCGCTGCGCGGCGCTCAGACCAGACATCAGCTCATTAACTTTCGCTATTGTGCTTGTCCCATTGTTATGTTAATGAGCGAGGTCAGTGGAGAAGTTTTGGTCCACGCACGAGGCGGGCCGCGGCGCGCCGTTGAGCCATAAAATGCCCCCATTACGTGGATGCGATGGACAAAGACCGACCGTTTATTCCTTCCTCCATGCGTTTATAAAGCTATGTAGTAGGGAGTCCAGTTTTGGGCAGTAAATGTAACCACGCAAAATTAGACAATTTCAATCCGTGCTAATGAGTATCAACATGACTCTAAAAAATATAAAAGGTATCCTGATACAAGAAAAATACACCCCCAGACCAGTGTTGGAACTAACACCTACGTCTTATCATGGAGCCATGGTCTTATTCATAGTTTCGGTGATGGCAAGAAACCCATGCAGGGGCGGGACTAAAAGACGCAATCACAGTACCGAGATTTTGGCTGGTATTCTGCACTCCGTAAAATCACACATAATAAAATGGAGACCAGTGTTGGAATTTTTTTAATGAATGGACCATCAAATCAGTTTCGTTGACGGGAATAGGGTAGGGGCGGGACTAAAACACGTAATCCCCAATAGGATTAGACTCACCTACAAAGAAATTTGCTGGTATACTGCACTTCGTAACGGTCACATATTTATAAATTGGAGACCAGTGTTGGAACATACGCCTACGTATTATTAGTTTCGGTGATGGCAAAAAAACACATGCAGGGGCGGGATTCAAGGACGCAATCACAGTACCGAGATATTGGCTGGTATTCTGCACTGCGTGACATCACACATATACATTGAAAAGGAGACCAGTGTTGGGACGAACACGTGAATCATTTTTTCCCCGATAGCGGGCTGCAGGGGAAAAATATAACTGTGTAGAACAACAGACCTTGGAATTTATCAGTATGAACGCGAATACAAAGTAAATGGATTGATGTTTTTGTCATCTTGGCATCAGGTAGTGTTTATTTCTTCAGATCAACAAGTGAAAAAAGTTTCAAGACATGATAACTGGTGGCAAATAGTGTTCCATGTTACGTTTATTTTGGAAGCGAAAACGTTGCCAAAAATACCCACGATTATTTTTGTGATCAAAAATTGTTCCAACATATTAAAAAACAAGCTCCAGTTCGTTACCGTCGGCGCGCTGCGGCTGGCCGCATGACCTGAGTGCAATCAGCCGTGAAAGCAATACGCAAATCTTCACCTATTGTTATGCAGGAAGCTTAATCTGGTCGGCGGCGCCGAGGGTCGGCGGGACGCAGCGCGCCGACCCTCGGCGCTGTGCGGCACTGTAAGGCGGCTCGCGTCGCGCCGAGTAAATTTTATTTGCCTTCTGCCCTAAGAGGAGCCCCGGTTCAAGCAGCGCCACAATAGTATAAAAACAGAACAAGCAATAAAAACATTACAAAGATATAATTAAGAAGATTAATAAACAGTAATATGAGACAAGGCTGATCACGGTTGTTACACTGGCCTTGTTGGTAGTATGGACTTGTTGGTAGTATTGCGCATGCATAAGTATGATAATTGGGAGAGTGACGTGCGAGAGTGATGAGTCTGATTCTCATAGGAGTCAGATTTTTATGCCAGACCAGCTTTGTTTCCTCTCTGTACCATTCTCACTGACTGACTCACTGACTGAAAGACTGTCACATGTGTGCGCTGGGCAGTGCTATCATATAGGATTACAGTGGAATGTCGCTATACAGAACACCGCTACACCGAACATTCGGTTATACCTGTACGTAGTCTGGTTCTGTGACCCCACACAAAATGAAACAGAGCACTTTATAGACGTCAAAGAACTGTAAGGTCAGGGAACCAGTTAAGCTGGCTTATACCTGTTGATATACTTTCCAATGGTATGACGTGGCGACGAGGAGTAATACGGTCGAATCACTTCCAGGTTGTTCAAAATAGTGCCACAATCACATAAAAACACATTTTTACCCCAAAAATCCATGTTGCTGATCATCAAACAATTTAGGGAAGAGATAAATTTCAATGACGTCATCACTGGCCCGAAAAAATTGTCAGCAGAGGCAACATTTGTGACGTTTTTTTTTACAGTGTGGCCGGGCACCCCAGCTATTTCTCTGTGTATGGGTCGATAGGTGAGGGTTGAAAGGTCATGTATAAGCACGGGCTTGATCAGTGTCAAGCTATTTTGGTATTTTGGTGAAAAATGAGATAATATTGTATTCTCTGTGTTTTATTATTGATTACCAACTTACGTAACTTGTAATTCTTTTATTTGAAGGCCAATTTTGTCCATTTTTGCTGGATATACTTCGGAACTTATATTATTTATTGGGTGGTTTTTTCCAGATGAGACGGCCTCTACCGTTTTCAAAAAAACGTCAGGTATTTCTAATCAAGGATGAAAGGGCGCCCTCTGCTGATTTGTACCGGTACAATTGAAAAAGGGTTAGTACGCGGCTATTACGGCGCGGTGGGCCGTGCAGGATTTAAACAGAGTCAGCGGTTGAAATGCTATTTACAAAAATAGCGTGGCTAGTACCGTAGGCCTACATGTATGCAATTACAAGTATTTGTCATCCATGTTATCTAACTTACCCAAGGTAATCGCATTGACAATGGTGACCAGTAGTGACCCGATGTAGCTACCTAGGCCTGATGTTAGCAAGAAAAGCCCCATGACCACTCCTTGCATTGCTTTGGGTGATTGAGAGTACGCAAACTCTAGGCCTGCAAAGACAACAACATTTGCAACAATAAAAACCATAACAAAAATAATAATAGAGATTTAAATATAGAATAATAAATACTTAAGACAGTTTACCCATTCCTATTAGTTAAGAGCCAGTCATGTACGTGGGTGGTTTTAAACAGTTGATAAAACACCGGCTGGCTGGTTTTAAACACTTTTTCGGTGTCACATGAAACTGACTTTTTTGAAATGTGGTCCCTTTTACCCTTTCATTGGTTGAAAGTTTCACAATCTTCACTTATAACGCATGCACAATACTATCAATGAGTCCGTATTTCATCAAGTCCTAAATTCACACAGCTGGCACTGCCGCATTCTGCACCGCAAATCTCCATATAAGGAGATTTTTGGTAGCACTCATGAGAGGCAAATACCATAAACATAGGTAGAGGGGTGCTTCAAAAAAAAAATGAAGTAAAATTGTTCAACAAATTCATTGGAAATGTATAATTTTGACTTTTTGACTTTTTGACCGAAAGGTAGATAAATGAATGATACAAATATTGAGTAGCTCAGAGTTGAACGGCAGGAATATTATGGCAAGGTAAAATCTGAACTTTTCCCTATTCATGAGGCGAAGCCGAGTGAACTGCAAAAGTCCAGATTTTACCGAGCGATAAAATATTCCTCCCATTTCACAATTAAAAGCCACTCACTATTTGTTTTATATAACTGACATATATAACTGACATATAGATCCTTGTCATTTGATTTATTTTAAAATAAATTTTAAATGATTTCAAATCTTTTTACATCACGAGGTAAAGCATTCAACAATTGTTTTATGACGTACACCTCAGCAGATTCTGTTGGTTTTAATATTTAAAAATTATTGAAATCTAAATACAGTTAAAATTATGTTCTATTTCAATACAAAATTGGTAAAAAAGTATGGGTATTTCTCTCTTCCAAAACACCCCTTCACAAATTGTTTGAACCCAACTCTGTAGTGCTGGCATTCATCAAAACAGCATTTTTTGGTGACCTATGCCTCAATAGTGTAAAAGAAAGGTATTGCACCTATTATTCTACAGTCACGTCATGAATTCAGACCCCAAAAAATAATTTTTTGGGTGACCTTTGACCTCCATTTCCCTTTTTGTTCAATTGGCAGACACAACATGATGCAACAGGAATCAAAGTCAGTGGGACTTTTTTGCAATGGAATATGTACATATATGTCAAGCACTATTCACTTTTGTTTCCAGATGGACTTGGGTAACCACACTTTTAAGCTTTTTTCCCACACCCATTGGTCACTGTTAGAGTGTGCTGCTTGTCCAATGTGCCTCTTATATTGCGCCTGCGTCTGCCCTTAAAAAAGGGAAATGGAGATCAGAGGTCATAACAAAATTGTCTTTGGGGTCTGAATTCATCATGACATGCTGTAGAATAATAGTTAAAATACACTTCTTTTGCACTATTACGGGTCATGACAAAGTGGCATTTGGAAGGGTAAATATGATAAATAGCGGCAATTAGGGTATATACAAAGTTCATTGACCTCTTGCAGGTCACCAGAGGTCAGATGTGAAATGCCCTACATATGAAAATTTGTTTCACAGCATGAGCAATTGACAGCTAGACCTGGGTCTTCAAAAAGTTGGGGTTTCAAGAGTAAATCTTATAAATAACCAGAGGTCACAAAATGTTCCCATATTGGTCATCATTTTCATTAATGAAGACCTACAAGTATGACGTAGACCGGGTCATAGGAAAGCGGTGTTTTCAAAAGGTCATTGACCTCTGACAGGTCACCAGGGTCAGATATGAAATGTCTCCATATTTGAGAAAAATATGATCGCAAGAACACCTGACATGCGAAGTTTCATGCTTTTATCACAAAGTGCACAATTCTGTGCACAAACTGGAAGACTGCCATAGCCAAATATTACGCTTCATCATGTACGGGTTGTGCAGGATTTCATGATGTTTTCATTATTTTTTTTCTTGGAATATTAATTCTCCATGAATCCTTGTAAAATAACAAAATTTAGCCTTTTTCCATGACTTTCCATAGCTTAATAAATGTCATGCACTAAGTACAATTACTTAAATGTCCATTGTGAAAAATCAATGTACTTGACTTAACCCTTACCCTACTAGACCCTCCAACGCATGCCAATATGTGCCTCAAGAAAATCTCCTATGTTTTTTGCATGGCCCTCCAATATCTGCCATGTCATTTCAAGGGTAACTGGACAGGCACTCCAATACATGCCACAGAGAACAATGAGAGTCCTCTGATAACATAGTGCGTGCCCCCAGCTGGTCAGTATCAGGCACCCTCCAGGGCCTCCAACTCCTGCCAGTTGGAGCCTTCACTGTTAAGACAAACTATCTGCCAATAAACTGCAGCTGGAGGGCATTGGCATAACCAACTGACATGCAGTAAACTACCCTCAGAGAGTAAGGGTTAAACACTGGTTGTTCGACCCCTACTTCACTTGTACCTGTAATGCTTGTGAAAACCTCACTGGCTCCTATAAACGTGTACTGAGGAACCTGTGCAAAGACGGACAAGTCCGACGCATTGAAGGCCTTGCCAGCAACTTCCTGCTGGAAGTAGCCATACTCCTTGATGTTTGCTTTCCGGCCAAACTCGACTCCAGCTGCCAAGATCATGGAAAAGACAGCTAGTGCCATGCCAATACCTGCAAGGTTACAAACAATGGAAAACAAAAGCAAAAACAGAGAGATGTGTATGAAACAATTAACAGTAATAATAATATAGGTGGAGTGCCGTGGCCTAGTGGTCTAAAGGATTAGGACGTGCTGGGTTAAAAGATTAGGACGTGCTGGGGTGGTATGGAGAAACAAGCAGCTCCATTCCCACTGAAATATCCGATCCTATAGCATAGCTTTCAACATCAGCCTCTCCTAACCAAATCCTACTGTCTGGCTTCTCGTGCCAACCCCGTTTTGACTAAATGACAGAGGGTGAAAGCGTGCTCCTGACACTATAACCAGGTGCTCCGGGTAGATGGAGCTTGTTAGCCGTGGTTGGTAGTCCATCTAGGAGAAGGACAACTCTAATTCCAAACCTGGGCAGAAGGAGCTCGTCAGCCTTGGCTGGCAGTCCACCTAGGAGAAGGACAACTCTGATTCCACACCCGGGTAGGTAGAACTCGTAAGCCTTGTTCGGCAATCTGCCTAGGAGAAGGTAAACCCGATCCAAAACCCATGTGGTGCCTACGTGCTGGCGACCTCCGAACAACCTGAGCTCTCGGCAAGGCACTGCAGCGCTGTGACAGCGCTTTGCACAAGTTTCAACATCACTTTCACATATTGGAATGGAAGGCTCATCAAAAGTCCTGCGGCGATGGATTCACAAACGAGTGGGGCAGGCTCAGACTGGCTGGAAGCCTCTAGTTCCTATCTGCATGTAGGCGGGCTCAGAAAGATGGTCGACGGAACCTGGGACGGAACAGCAGTTTCCTTCGGCAGCTACCGAGTCGACTGAGCAGGCCTGATCAGGATTCGCGCTGCTCACCTCATACGAGGAGGGGCCTAGAACAGTTGGCCTAAAAATCGCCTGTTCCTCCTTCTCTGGGCTGATTGCCCCATTTGCCAGAGTGTCTCATCATGCAGTCGAAATACAAAAGGAAATAAAAATAAAGATATTACGATGAAGGCTCTGAACGTTGCTACGTGGAACGTTCGCACACTCCTTGACAACCCCAACAACAGTCAACCCCAGCGTTGCACGTACCGCTTTGGTCACCGCTAAACTGCGCCGATACAATATCACCATTGCCGCCCTATTGCAAAACCCGACTCTACGACAAAGGCTTGCTTGTCGAAGTCGGCAAAGGATACACGTTATTTTGGAAGGGCCGCCCAGCCGGCTCCCCACGCATCCACGGGCACTTTGTTGTTTTTGTCACTGCCTGAATTGCCAGTTGGCATCAGCGAGCGCCTGATGACGCTTCGATTCCCACTTGTGGAAGGCTGTTTCGTCACCTTGCTCAGCGCATACGCACCAACCCTTGTCTCATCTGACGAGGAGAAGGCTCTGTTCTATGGGGCCGTCCCTCTGCTCTACAATGTGTCCCCCAGACTGACAAAGTGCTGCTACTCGGTGACTTCAACGCCTACCGGCCGTGTGTACTCCCCAGGGAATTGAGAAGGTTTCAGGAGTGTTTGCCCGTTGAAACAGGGGTAATAATAATTGTAAAGCGCTTTGATACCCCATTATTAGTAAAAGCCTGTTATTAGTATTATTTTTATTCACAATGCCTTTGCCCTACTGTTAAATGGTGACCTGTTTGCAAAGTTGCTCTCTCGTGCCCTTTAGCAAACTTGTGGAAAAACTTTAAGCGGATAACGGACAGAAAAGCATGCGCAGTGTGAGGTTACAGAGCACAACTTGTGTAGAGTAGATCATTGGTGCATCTGTTTTGTTTGAAGCAACAAAAGTGCTCAAAACAGTCTTTCAACCGAATGAGGAGATACGGTCTTACCTATTCGCTTCAGTTTGGTGAGAGGATATCCAATTCTTGCCATGAATGGGTAGAAGATACGATCCACGACGGGAATCATGACAAGAATAATGGCGACATCAAAGAGGTTGAGAGCAGCCACTGGGATAGTGAAACCGCTGTAGACCAGACGCATGCGTTCGCCTTGTAGCAAATAGGTCGTTGACATCTGGAGACAATTCAACACAATGACACGATGAATTACATGTACAATAATTGAAAATAAGCTAGTTTGGTATTTCAACTGCAATACATGCACGTCCAGATGTCACAATTTTTCTTTCGGGATAAACAATTGCCATATGCGCACAAAATCAAGGCGGGTACCAGCAAAATTCAAGAGATTGTATTGTTCTGAAGTATGCACAAAATTCCAGAAAGTTTGGACCGCAAAGTGATTTTAGTGTTTTGTATGCCCCAACTTTTGGGGCGAACAAAAATATCCATCATCTTTTTGATTGCATGAAAAAACTTGCAGAGTGCAGATTAACTACTGCGTTTATCCCAAAGTAAAAATTGTGGAATCTTGTTATGCACATGCGCAGTTGGAGTACCGAATTGGCTTATTACAACTCATAAACATTGTGAGAACAAAAGTTATGGCGTTACGGCCCATCAAATGGAATTTTTTACTATGGAAATGCTATATTGTTCTTCTCAAACACGACTTGCAAACTGCATGTATAGTTGGGATCACAATTGTGATCTTTAGGGTTGTCCATTTCAGATATTTTGGAATTCGATTATTCGAAACTGCATTTGACCCATAGAGCTATATTCAATTACTAGAGCGCTCACTCTTCATTCTTGCGCGGAGAAGCTTTGAAGGGGCTCTTGACGCAGACATTTTGAATGCACGTGAGTGTTTGTAGTTAACACAATCAAAATAGATGGATTGATTTTTTATAAGTGTGCTCTACATGTAAGGCGCAAGTCGAAGATACGCAAACAACTTAAGAGCGTCATGCTGGTTCAAAAAACGTCACAGCGAAAAGCATCTGCAGCGGAGGGACACGCACACGTTGCGCTGTTTGCGTAGAGCAAAATGACACTTTCATTTGCTGATCGGTTTTGGGCGTGTCGGTTTCGATGACGCACCGGTATGGAATACAAACGCAGATATGCAAATAGACGTACAAAATACGTACAACATTTCTAGTTCTCCATATGTTTGTGATGCGCCCAGCAGGCATCACTTTGTACACGAGTTAGCACTCTAGTAATTCAATATAGCTCTATGATTTGATCTAACATTGCAACTGCATTGCAACTGCAACTTTACCAAAGGTACATGTACTACATCACGCGGGAACAAGGCAGGGATAGTTACATAGCATGCATGCATGCATAGAACATTCTTTTCATTGAGAGAATTGCAGGTGGGTACGATAATTTTCAAAGCGTACTGGCCTGATATTCAATTGTATGCCTGGCTAGAACATTGCAAATACTGCAGATGAGTGCGGTGACTTGTCAACATGGTAAATTCAATCATCCCTGCGTTTTAATCTTGCCCTTTCACTGCAAGCAATAGTGTTCCTAGCGCTATCAACAAATACTTGCCGAACTTACGAACCGACCATTTTGGTTCGGTTCGGGTTCGGTTCGGTTCGGATTCGGCGGTTTGGCTGCAGCACTAGCAGTAAACATCATTTTAAAAAATGAAAAATCACACTGCGCACGCACTCAAGAGATCCAATCATTGGCTTTAAATGTGAACTAGCCACCGGTCCCCATATAATGGGAGCGGGAAGCAGTCAAGGATTGGGACTGGCTGCATCAGTGGAATTTAAAAAATTCCAGACTTGAACTAAGACTATACTCACCTGGAAGTACACAGTCCAATAAAAGATGATGACGATAAAAACTGGTATAATTCTTCCCAAGGACCTGACTTCGTCCACTTTGAGGTCTGGGAAGTGACCACCGAAGCTGTGCTTGGCGCGATCCAGCCAGGATGTCATCTGGTCTTTCCTGGCATTAGGCTTCCTGATTCTTGATAGAGCCTGCCAGATGATTTTGGCGACAGTTGTGAACACGCTCCCTTGAAAGATAAAAAACAAAACTAATTGGGAAATCTTAGACAAATACTAGTACAGTTTTTTAGAAATATCAAACATGGACCAATTGGTAGACCGCAAACATATGGCTGGATAGCTCAGTTGGTAGAGCCAATATCTGGCAGGCCTGCACGACAAGGTCACAGCACATTGAGCACTACAATATGCTGCCTCACAGGCAAAGAATGGGGCAGCCAGCATCTCTACACAATGTACTTCCGTCCTGGCCCTGGACTACGCTCCCACTGACTATCGTGCACCTGTATGGTCTAGGAGTGCTCACACGCACTTGGTAGATGAGAGCCTAAACAACACGCGCTGTGTCATCACTGGCTGCCTGCAACCAAGCCCAGTGGAAAAGCTCCCAGTCCTAGCAGGAATGTCACTAGCTGCCCTGAGAGGGAAAGCCCACATTATGGCATTGCCTTGCCGTGCGCTCAATCAAGACCACCTACTCCATCAGGTCATCACTGAAGAAGCTGGACAACCTCGCCTCAGATCAAGGCATCCACTCACACCTGAGGCACCGTCAGTGCTCCCAGCCTCCCACAGGCACGCACCAAGACAACAACATCCAATGGACTGCCAAATGGACTGTGGAGTGTCATGGCCTAGCGGATAAGAACACCGGAATCATGTGCTCTGGTGTTTCAGAGGCAACAGTGGCATGGGTTCGAGCCCGCCGGGTGGACACTTGTACCCTTGAGCGAGGCACTTAACCATTATTGCTTCATCCTTCGGATGGGACGTTAAGCCGGAGGTCCTGTGTGTTGTAAGCCTAATGCACGTAAAAGAACCAAGTAACACTTATCACTAAGAGACGAGATTTGCCCCAATGTTTCTGGTCTCCTGTATAAACTCCCACGCTGAGTATTTAGGAGATGAACCAACCAAGATCCCAAAAAAATTAATGGTGGCAGCAGTGGCACCTGTCATCATCACCCCTGAGGAGCTGCACCTCCATGCCATCAGAGTGCTCTCCTGGCTCAGACCTCCCCCGACGCTCATGGGTGAACCTAAACCACCTGCTAACTGGAGTGGGACGTTCCAATTCCAATATGACAGATTGGGCTTTACATCAAGCCCGGCATGCAAATGCCGAGCAGAAGAACAGATGGCGAACGACATCATCTGTGAGTGCTCTCTCCAGCAGCCACCCAATGGAGCCCAAGGTTTGGCTGATGTTGATGTTCCCACAAAGGAATGGCTGCTCAATACCAAACTTGAGAGCTAAGCCTACACCAGTGTTGGTACTATATAAAAGAAGAACCTAGATGACGTTGTTGTTGTAGATATGCAATAAACCACCGCCGCGACAACCCCCACGGCCGGAGGGCGTTATCACGACAAACCGGTATCGCCCACAAACCGCCAGAAACGTCATCTTGGTAATCTTGTAGTTGTGTAATGCGCGTCCACCTGTTTGGCCTAATACATGCAGTGCACATTCAAAACCTTTCGTAGTCCAAACCAAATTCTTAAATTTCTTCCATGCAGTGCGCAGCATTCTATAAATTTAGGGTCCACTTTTTTCCCGTCCCTGTTACATCTGACATCTATGATTGTATAATTCTGATGCACTCCTTTAATGCAGTCATCCTCCAAGAGTGATTATGAATAGCAAACTACCCATCCAACAAATAAACAATCATTTGAAGTCACTTTTAATGATGCTTGAATGGCAAATTACAAAGTACCAAGGTAACAGGGACGGGAAAAATGTCACACTTTGGACCCCAAATTTATAGAATGACCCACCAAGATGCAGCAAGACTTTTGTGCAACTTCACTGGGCAGCTGTTTTGTGGTATGTAGTCATGGTAGTACGGGTGGCAATTGCGTGCAGAAGTAGTGCATGTGCACTCGTCTCCCCCCTTTTTCGGGAGGGGGGATTTTTACAAGCTTCCCTAGATGTTGTTGCTGGTGGTAACGTGTGTTGGGGACACGTGTGGTCTAGCGGTGGAGCACAGGATTCGTGATCGAGAGGTTGTGGGTTCAAACCCCACCGTGGTCATGCGTGTTGTGCCCTTGAGTAAGGCACTTCACCTCAATTACTCCTCTCAACCCAGGTGTTAAATGGGTACCAGCATTGTTCAATGCTGGGAAGGTAACAGACTCGCTGTGGAGGAGGTGTGGCGATCCCCCCACAGCAGCATATGAGTCTGGCCCAATCGCTATGAAAGAGAGATGGGCACTCCGTTCCTGTGAATACAGGTTCGTCCCCTTTACCTTTACTTTTTTGGTAACGCCCTCTCATGGCAGCGACTTATCATGTATCAAACCACAACAACGTCTTGCCTGTATACTTGTTCAAACCCACTCCAGTCAATTTCTTTGTTGTAAAGAAAATTCAACTTAAAGAAAATTACTAAAGTTTGCTGACCTTCAGGTGGCCTCATGCGGTACCACTTTCGGCAAATCAGAAGCATGATGATCGCCACGACGATGGAGGCTGCTGGGATGGCATATCCCACATCGAATCCGATCTCCTGCTGTACGTAGACCACAGCAGAGAAGGAGACAGCCGAACCCACATTGATGAACCAGTAGAACCTTCACATGAAAAAGTCAAAAATTGTCAAGTACTGAGCACGGTAAAATCAAATTGCAAAGTGTAATACCGTAGCAGCTGTAACACTAAAAATTCTGCAGGAAACGATATGGTTTTGTTCATAAATAACTACATCAAATATAACTACATAGCCTATTTGTCATTTGATTAACAGTTTAAATGAACTTCTATTTAAATACAAAATTGGTGGGCAGTGTATTTATCTCTCCAAATAAAACCACCCCTTCAGGAAACATTTGAACCCAACTCTGTAGCTACTGGCTCTTGAACAGTAGCGCTATGCGCAACGCGCACACCAGCATGCATTTGCTCACAAATATCGAACCATGGAACAAGAATGATCCTAACTGTTGAATAGTAAATCCCATTCACCATGGGCGAATGCAGCCAACCATTGGACACTATTGTCAAGCGCCTTCAGACCAAGGCTAGGGTGAAGCATACAGTTAGGCAATATAAAAAAAAAAACATGTTTAGCATCCTGCCTCTTTGACAAAAAGGAAGGAGGAGGCCCTTTTTTTTTGTTTTTTTCTTTTCAAAATGGCCGCCCGACACATTTTTCAAGCCAACGCGGCTGGGCTATTTTTCAAGATGGTTACCAGCTTTTTTCAAAATGGCCGCCACTTGGACTCATTGACTATTTCCACAGCTTTAGACACGGTATAAAAGTCTAAAAATATGATTTCTTTCGTCAGAGATCGTTAAAATTTATCAATTTTTGTCTTTATAAAAAAAAAAAAAAAAAAAAAAAAGGAGGCGGCCTCTAAAAAGGAAGCGGGCGGGGACGCTAAACATGTTTTTTTTTTTACTTCGCCTTAGTGGCATTGAATTAATCCATCAAAACGGTAAACTTCCACGTCACAATCTCACCAATTGAAGAAAGATTTGACGGGACCCTCTCCAAGATCATCCAACTGTTGAGCTCCGAACGGGCCCACGTTGGATTTGATGCCGCCTGTACCGATGGCAATGACGGCTAGACTGAAGAGGAAGAAGCCTCGCTTTTGGCCCTCAGTCAGCCCTAGGTGGGGGCCATACTGGGTAAAATCTATGGAGATGATGGGCAACATGGTCGTGCCTTGATCAAAGAAATAGAGAAAAGACACCAAAATTGATTTTTCAAATTGCTGTTTTTTTAACAATAGCCGACAATGGATAAGAACCTCATTAGTATTCGTGAGGCTTAAAAAGATTGATAGATATTGCGCCCGCCAATGTTACAATTGTCAAAATTGCACGTAGTCAGACCTATTTTTCCAATTTTAACGAAAAGTAATGAACATATCACAACGACTTTTAGCACACACGTGGATAATTATAGGGGAAATAATCCTTCTTTCTCCTTCCAAACCGGAGAAATTAATTTTCAAAGATTTCACCTGCCAACATGACCATGTCTGTGAACATGTAGTTTCATTCAAAATAGTGTAACGTATACCTTTAGAAATCGTCCTTCGCAACCATAATTATGGCCGACATGTACATGTTTGTATGTATGTATGTCAAATTCCACACTTTTGATGAATGCTTCTTTCACAAATTTTGAGTTAAAACGTCCACAAGGAAAATTAGCTCAAATGTCTTCTTACACGTGTTCTTTATACTATTGTATGGTGAAAATATACATACATACTGGTGCATACAATAAATTCAGAATATGAGTTAACAAACTTTGGCATCTCTCTCTTCTGGACAGACTGTTTCGCACCATAAGGCACTCATCAGCAGAATGACGAAAAATAGAATACAAGTAGCATCTTACCTTATTTCGAATCAAGCGCGCGCACGCGTTACGTGCGTTACGTCATTGAAGTTAGTACGCGTTTACGTCACTGAAGTTAGAACACATCTTTCTCGATGCCTGCACTTGGAGACGATTTCGCTTCTCTTATTCAGTGTACCTAGATCTGGCCTACATATGATTATGTACAAATTGCATCTCTTGTTTACGTTAGAGTATGGCAGTGCTTTCAGAACAATGTCCCATTTGATTTCATAGTCTTTCCCTTTGTCCTTTAAGTCCCATACTCTAACGTAAACAAGAGATGCAATTTGTGTATAGCAGAGAAGTACATAATCATATGTAGGCCAGATCTAGGTACACTGAATAAGAGAAGCGAAATCGTCTCCAAGTGCAGGCATCGAGACAGATGTGTTCTTACTTCAGTGACGTAAACGCGTACTAACTTCAATGACGTAACGGACGTAACGCACGTAACGCGTGCGCGCGCTTGATTCGAAATAAGGTAAGATGCTACTGGTATTCTATTTTTCGTCATTCTGCTGATGAGTGCCTTATGGTGCGAAACAGTCTGTCCAGAAGAGAGATATGCCAAAGTTTGTTTAACTCATATTCTGAATTTATTGCATGGTTATAGCTCTACAGAGATGTATCGAGCACTGTGAATTGTGATAGAAGACGATTTCATTGGACATACTGGTGCATATATGTAAATCCAGATCAGCAGCCAGTTTAGGCTCTCACATGTTTAACTGGATCAGTTACTTCGATTTCAATTATTCAAATAATATTCGAGTCCAAGTTGGAAAAATCGAATACTAAATTATTTGAAAATGCACAGCCTCATTTGATCACTTGTAAACACAACAAACATGGGTAAAAAAGAAGTTAAAACTGATACCTATGCAATAAATGAGGCCTGCTCCAAAGATAGCATTGTATTTCCCTGATACGGAGTCAGCAATCCACCCACCGACGACCGGCACAAAATAAGACGTCCCTGTGAAGATGAAAGTAACGGTGGTCGCGTCGGCACTCGAGAATTTCAGCTCGTTGGTGCAGTAGAGCACCAGGTTGCCAGCAATGCTGTAGTAGGTCAGCCGCTCGCACAGCTCTAAGACCAATATGCATAGCACCACGCCCAGACGATCTCGCTGGATGCCGAACAATGTTCTAGCAGGGGCTGGGAAGTCAATCTCCACGCTTGATGTCGTCTCGCTTTCAGGCCTCACTGGAGTATTCAAACTCTCGTCAATTTCTTGATAAACGGTGGACATTTTGGTGCATGTGGCTGACTTCGACGCGCACACACTTCAAGACAGCGTTTTTCTTATTCAGTGCAGCGTAAGCCGTATAAAACTCAAGACATCTGTGAAGAACCTAACGACTAATCTGTAAAATACAAACAAACAAAATGTAAATAAGTTTCAAAGTCATTCCAACATGTTTAAATTGGGGCTAAAACTTCATTTAGTCTTCGCAGTTCACAAACAAATATCAAAGAACCAGTTTTGACTCCAACAATAATGTGACAGCAAACTTCCACTTTTCCGAACTTTCACAGCAAATTTTCCTGGGAAAATCAAAGCAAGATACATGTTTTTGTCAAGTAAAACAACGACAGAGAAAAACATAGGAAAAAATCTATCAGGTACAATGTACTGTATTAATCCTTCTTTACAAAAAGAAATAAGCATGACAAAAAGACAACACAATTTTAGACAAAAATTAGCAGGCACATTTACCCATACGTACATTTCAGAAGAGAAAAATACAACAAATGTTAAACAAAACGGCAGTTGCAAGATGTAGTGATTGAGGCAGTGCGAACATGATAAACAAGATTGGGTGACAAACGACTACATCATGTGATATAAGCTGGAGTCACATGAGGATAAACCAGGAAATAAACAACATTCAATTCCCAAAACCACAAGCACGAGACCTTGAAACCAAATACAATTGCAGGGAACAAGTTGCAAGTTCAAAGTACATTCACCCATGTTTTACTTCACTCAGAGTAAACAACACGGGCACGGCATCAAAAGCACACAAATGGACCAGTTTAAAGTTGCATTCCCCGATTTTCATCCCGAAAAATAGATTTCTTTTCTAAATTGCTATTTTTTTAACAATACAAATGTTTATTCACTTTGGATTTGTTGGAAGGGGACGTGACATTGACTAATTAGCTTGAGTACTCCAGCTTAACAAGCTCATCAGGAATTTACATGTGAATTCCTGATGAGCTTGTTAAGCTGGAGTTACTCAAGCTAACATTGACCCCAAAAAATGGTAATCCTTAGGAAAAAATTCCATACTGGGCCACCACTCATATTCCTTAATATGACCTGAAAAGTACCAAGAAAAACTGTTAAAGGAGTGCAAAAATTCTTTGATAATACTTTAAAATGTTCTGTCATGGCCCATAGACTTTGTGCAGGAGCTCGGAGTGGTGGCCCAGTATGGATTTTCTTTCCTCAAAATGACTTTTGCAGGCTAATGCAGTCTTTTTCTTCATACAAAAACACTAAGGATTAGGCCTACCCAAAAAATAGGCCCATGTTTAGTTATTGAATCTTCACTTCTTGGCTGACATGCCTGGTGACAAACTTGGCCGGAGATGGGACCCGTAGCCACTGCACTTATACCCCAATCGGTGGCCATGATGAGTTGTTTTCTGGGTAATCTATGCATGGAGGTAGCCCCACTAGTGTGGCCGCGGTATGCTGCGCTGAACCTCTGCAGCGCAGCATACCGTGGCCACACTAGTGGGGCTAGCATGGAGGTAGAATTAGAAATGGTCAAGATAAGAACTTATCAACACAGACATGTTGATTAATATCGTCTAATGTCCAAAATTCGCGCTGCCCAATATTCGCGCAACCAACTTTCTCGGCTCGTATTGATATTGTTTTTCACACAACACGGACCGACGTACGTCAAATCACGTCGATGACCTAGCCCAGGTTGGACGAAGTCTTCATTGCAATACGACTAACGTAGGGAGGAAAGGGAGTCCACCAGGGCTAGTCGATGACCCATCGTCACATCGCCTTTATTCTCGATGCAGTTATGCGGAAATCAAAAGCTTTTCCGAAAAGCAATTTGAAAGTCAAAGAAATCAAAGAGAGTGTAAATGATTACCGTACTGAGTAAATACAAAACGTAACATTATTGAATGGCCCAGAAAACTAATAAAAACATCGCCACGAATTTCCAATCAGTGTCACCGTCCAACCCCGAAACGTGTGAAACTATTGTGAAGCAATTTTAGAATTGGTCGACTTTCACTAAACGACAGAGGGCGTAATCAGAATAAAGGTGCACGAAAAACGACGTGCACCATATCGCGTTATTATTATTATATTGCAGGTAAGTACTTTACATAATTGGGGAATTATACAGGTGCATGCGCCTGCACGTTGGCGACCATACCGTGGCCGATCGCGCCGCCTCGACACATGGTTGCATGATACAATGTACATATCATTTCAATAAAAACACAAAAATAGGTATTGGCCTAATTTTGGGGTATTTTAAACATTACGATTAGGTCTTATTCAGGCAGAAATTTATTTTAAGGCATATTAATTCCAACAAACAACTCGGTACCGAAATATGCATCTCGGCGAAACAGATCGTAAAATTGGAATTATATAAGACAATCTAACCACCCTTTGAAGCTAATGGAATAGTCCTCATTAGATATTCAAAGTTCGAAGAATAGCGCTCTATTCAAACTTGAAGAATAGCTTGCTATGTGCATGTGTACCCCTCGCTCGAGTGCTGGATCGTCTTTTTGAAGCTTGAGGAGCAATGATGACTGGCGGAGGCGACCTGTGACCTGATTTAGTTCTCGGGCGGGAGTCAAAGTGCCTGTAAAAATGCACACAAAACATAAAAAGGGGGGAGATTGAGTCTCTCCTCCATTGTCTTATAAAAATTATAATTCCAATTATGTTGCAGTAAGTACTTTACATAATTGGGGAAATTATATTACGCCAATTCCGGAAAGACTCACCCTGTATACTTCAAAGCCGGTCATCAAAGTGCCGATGCCAGAACTGCTTGACCAAACTCCGTCTGAGATGATCTTCTGTTGTAGAAGTTGGAAAGGTTGAATGGGCCTTGAAACATGACGTATCAACGCCAGCTTCTTTGAGTACATCTTTTAACCATGTGGAGACTGTGGATGACACTACCGGGTGGTAGGGTTTGGAGTGTGACAGCAGGAGCTGAGTCATGCTAGAGTTCCCATTTGTTCTAATATGAGAAGTCCTGTTGAGGTATTCCTGCAAAGTGCGCACTGGGCAAAGGTTTCTGTTAGCTTGAAAGCGAGCAATTTCTATATGTCGTGGAAGGGTTTGTTAACTGACACACGTTTAGAAGGTTTTACCAACCAAAAATGAAAACTGCCATCTGAGGACCTTGACATATGATTGATATCGATAGCTGTGAGTGACGAACAGCGACTAGCTGTAACTAGTGCAATTAGCATAGTTAATTTAAGAGTTAACTGTCTGATAGATAATCTACGATTGTCAGGTAAAGACTTGAAATAAGTCAACACAGTTGCCACATTCCATGTAGCATTGTATCGTGGTTGTGGAGGACGCAAATTTAGAACACCCTTGAAGAAACGTTTAACTAAGTGATGTTGTCCAACTGGTGCTCCGTCTATAAAGACGTGGGCTGAGGAAATTGCCGATCTGTATACATTGATAGTTCTGTAAAGCAACCCTGAATCTAACAAATCTTGATGAAGAAAGGATAAACATACCGCTATGGGTGCTCGAACAGGATCTGCTTGCCTCTGAAGCCACCAGCTGGCCCATCGATTCCAAGCTGAATCAAACTGCTTCTTGGACTTTTCCCTCCATGATGACATGACTGTGAAGGACACTGACTAAGAAATTCCCTCTGAGCGAAGGCTTTCCCTGACAGCTTCCACGCGGCTAACAACATTAGATCTGCCAATGGATGGACAATTGTTCGGTTGTGAGGCAATTGGAGAAGATCTCTTCCCCTGGGTAGAATGACGAGATTTTGAACGGCCATCTCGAGAAGTCTGGGGTACCAGACTGTTCCTCGCTGATCTTGCTCAAACACCTGGGCAGAAGCGCAAAGGGAGGAGATCTTCCATAGACTTACGGGGTGTCGGACGCTTCGCCCCATTTCCACGTCGCCCCATGTCACTTCGCCCCTAACCACTTCGCCCCATCCCCGCTTCGCCCCATCCCCGCTTCGCCCCATCCCCGCTTCGCCCCATCCCCGCTTCGCCCCATCCCCACTTCGCCCCATCCCCACTTCGCCCCATGTAGATTGGTTCCTCCAAGAGTGAAAATAATTAGGATGTCAAAGGTATTGTGGTTCTCAGATAAGTGGGAGACGGGTTGCGTAATTTTTATTCCTAGGAGGGTTAGGGTAGGGGCAATGTCATGAATAATTCATGTTTATCCACGAGAACGGACAATGACATCAACAGCATTGTTGTTAGTTACTCAACTAGTTACAATACATTAAAGCATTTTAAAGAACGGTTGTCATCGAGCTACCCACACAGTAGCCTAGTGGATAGCGAGATGAGCTATGGATACAAAGATCCCTGGTTCGAATCCATGTCGTCGCTGCTCATTTTCATCAACTATTTTTCTTCTCCAAATTTATCACTGAGATAATTTTAAATTGAGGGGAAAATAGAACGAGAACCTAAGTCTTGCAATGATTCAAAGGAAAAACTGAATTATTCATGACATTGCCCCTAACCCTCCTAGGAAAAAAAATTACGCGGGCAGGTATAGCCGGGTTGGGAACAAAGTTGGATCTTTTACTTCAAGCTTTTTCTTCGGTAGGGGAGAGTGATAGCTTGAGGGTTGGTTATGAATTGTTCATTTGGTGGGCTAATTCTTTCCATTGGTTAGCAATTAGTGAATCTGTTGGAATTGTTTTTAAGCCAATAAAATAGATGAGATTTTTTTTTTTAACATGTAACAGCTGGGGCGAAGTGGGAATGGGGCGAAGTGGGAATGGGGCGAAGTGGGAATGGGGTGAAGTGGGGATGGGGCGATGTGGGGATGGGGCGATGTGGGGATGGGGCGAAGTGGGGATGGGGCAAAGTGGTTAGGGGCGAAGTGACATGGGGCGATGTGGAAATGGGGCGAAGTGTCCGACATTCAGACTTACGTATCCAGACGATTTTTCTCTTAAAACTTTTTTTTTTAATGTCAGGATGATACACGAATGGACCAGGCAGAAGCTGCAACATGTTGAACCGAAGCAGGGAACGGACGCCATGTCTGCTCCCAATCCTTGCCAACCCAACCACCGCTTCGTGTTCATAAAGATCCACAAAACTGGTAGCTCCACCATCGCCACGATGCTAGAGCGCTACGGCTACCGGCGCGATCTAACCTTGGCGCTGCCCAGCGGAGCAGCCCACTCTTTCCCCATGAGCAACAGGCGGTACCGTTTTGACACCCCGCAGCTAGTCTTCCAGTGGAACCTGACGGACCAGAGCGGTGCCTTGGTCTGGCCGGCGCTGGGCGGGTACCAAGTCTTGGTGAATCACGCTCTGTACAACCGTACCGTGGATGAAATTCTTATCCCAAACGCCGTATATTTCACCATGATTAGGGAACCCCTCGCCCGAACCGAATCCTTCTTCAGGTACTTCCTTTTCGACCAGGCGGTACCCCACAAGGCCAACGAAGACCCTCTTGAAGTCTTCATGAGGGACCCCCAAAGACACACCCAGAAACTGAGGAACAACAAATGGACCAAGTATTTCAGGAACGGCCAGTTTTTCTCTCTGGGGTTGGAGCGGGAAGATTACGAGAATCTCCGGGTGGTAGAGGCTGCCATCGACTCGCTGAGTCGCGGCATGGACCTAGTGATGCTGAACGAGTACTTCGACGAGTCACTGTTACTCCTGAAAAAGCTCATGTGTTGGGATTTCCAAGACATCGTGTACATCTCCAAAGCGGTTCGGAGAACCAGCGAAAACCACACCAGCATCCCGGCGGGGCTGAGAGACAAAATTCTCCGGTGGAACGCGGCTGACCCGAGGCTCTACCAACACTTCAACCGGACTTTCTGGACCAAAGTCCAAAAGTACGGTCCGGAATTTGGGCACGATTTGGACACGTTCCGAGCGATGAAGGAATCCGCAACGCAAGCTTGCATGGCAACGGGGAGCCGCCATTGGGATCGGCACAACTCCAGCTACTGGAAATTGCCGCCAAATGCCAGCGAGAAATGCCGAGATTACACGAGAGATGACAAAGCTTGGGTCAAGCTTATAAGATCGCGCATGCGCGCAAAAAGCAGCGCTTTCATCAAATACAGAAATGGATAATAAACAGAACCTTTTCACAATCAACTGTTAATTTCTCTACGGCGTACTTGATATAGAAAAAGAACAATTCTAAAGAATGAAAAGAAGAGAATGCTTCAGATTTCAGGTATTCAATAGTCATTTTTCAAAGCTGGACAGGAATTTTTGAAAAGGGAAAGCAAGCACATGCACTTCTATCAAAAAGTGGCTGCATTTGTGAAAAGTTTTAGTATCAGAGAAAAAAAATGTATCGTGATGTACAACTCGAAATACATACTTCATTTCCAAGAACATTTATGAAAGATTTTAATCCCAAAAAAAACTCAAAGGAGTAACGAAATGAAAGAATCTTCTGGCTCGTTCGTGAAAACATCTTTTTCAGTTATTTAACTTTCTTTAGATTATTTATTAATCTTTCTTAGTATTTTGAAAAGTTTCAATATAAAATCCTAGTTATCTTCGTAACTGGTATGGTGTTGGCGAAAGAAATAAAGTTTTCATTTGTGTTACTATGACTTTGCCAAAATGATGTCACTGTATTATCAGTTGCCGCGGTTGCCGCTCTGCGAAAACAATTCCATGAAACTTAATTTCCCCATAAGCAGAATTACCATTCGTGCATATGAATAATTAATTAGCCATAATTCTTAAACCCCTCGACCTATAATCATGAAATTTCTTGGGTATGTTCATGATAAGTTGTTCTATGACAATGCATGTACCGAGTTTCATAATTTTTCGTCAGCCAGGATCTTGGGGGGGGGGGGGGGGGGGGGCGGCGGATTCCCCCGGCTGTGAGATGTTCAAAATAACCCGGCCCTTAGGCAATGCTGTTAAAATGTATGTAGTTTTTCTAATGGAGCTTCGTTCCATTACTGCCTCCGCCTGATTTTTACGCACCCGACTTTGGAGATTCCAGCTAAAATATGAGTCCACGTTTTTGCTAAAGGAATATCAAACCGTATGCGTTGAAGCCAAAGATGGGAGTCTTTTTATTCGGTCCGAACATTTAAACATGTAAAAAAAAAGGCCTACAATTGAAATTTCTGTGACCATAGCCCAGGCGGAACGAAGCCGAAGCCGAAGTTTGAGAAAGGCCCAAAGTCAATAGTAACGACGGGAGGTCGCAACCTCGTCACCATTGCTTACTTTATTTCCAACCTCGTTTCCAAAAGTAAACCCTGGATAGGAAACTTTCTTCCTGTATCCTGATTCGATACCGCAATTGGCCAGTAATGGATTTTTATCGTGTACTTGGTGTTATTATTCACAACGTCCCAGCAGGCACCGACCGTCAGACTGACGTTGTATAATGGTTGTTTTATGGTCGCAACGTCGGATCAACCATACATAACCGAAAATCAACGTTGTTTTAGTCGACCAAAAGACGACGTTGTCATTATAACGTCCGCCAGACGTTGCTTTAGTGTCGACAATTTAACGTCAGAATTTTACGTAACAACAACGTCGAAATATAGTTGGAATTTGGTCGGGAATATTACCAAACGTAATTTCAACCATGGTATGACGTTGTTTTGTCAACGTCTATACAACGGACTGAAAAACAACGTTGTATTATTGTTATTTTTGCGTTTGCCTTCGCGACGTCGCAATTATGTCATGTTTTCAACCAAGATATGACGTTTGCTTTCTAACGTCGTTTCAACAACTCAAAAAACGACGTTGAATTGTGGTTGGCCGTCGGTTATAATATCCGACGTCGTACTTATGTCATGCTTTTGACTAAAATGCAACGTCCGTTTTTGACGTTTTTTCAACGACTCAAAAAGTGACGTTGAATTATGGTCGGCTGTCGGTTATAATATATGACGTCGTTATTTGGTCATGTTTTTAACCATTATTTTACGTCCGTTTTCTAACGTCGTGTCAACGAATCAAATAATGACGTTGACTTCCGGTCGTTTGATGGTTAAAATATTTGAACGTCATTATTAAGTCACGGTTTTACCCAAACTATAACGTCAGTTCTCTGACGTCTTTTCAGCGACTCAAAAATGACGTTGGATTATGGTCAGACGCTGGTTATAATATTTGACGTCATTTTTAAGTCATGTTTTCAACCATGATATTACGTTCGTTTTCTAACGTCGTTCAAATGACTCAAAATCGACGTTGTTTTGTGGTTGGCTGTTGGTTATAATAACTGACGTCGTACTTATGTCATGCTTTAAACCAAAACACAACGTCCATTATCTGACGTCATTTCAACATCTTAAAAAGCGACGTTGAATAGTGGTCGGCTGCTAGTTATAATATTTGACGTCGTTATTAAGTCATGTTTTCAACCATGATATTACGTCTGTTTTCTAACGTCATTTCAACGAATCAATTAACGACGTTGATTTCTGGTCAGTGGATGGTTACAATATCGTTATGTCATGGTTTAACCCAAAATATAACGTCCGTTTTCTGACGGTCTTTTCAGCAACTCAAAAATGACGTTGAATTGTGGTCGGCTGTTGGTTATTTACATTACGTCGATAGTGTGTCATGGTTTCGACCAAAATATAACGTCCGTTTTTCACTTAATAAAATAAAAAAGTCATTAAAGAATGCATGGATGTGCAACGTCGTAATTCCCAAACGAAATTATCGGACGCCTTATTAATTTGAACGACTAAAAAAGACGTTGAATTGTGGTCAGCTAGCTGATGGTTATAAAATTGATGTCCGGTCTGCAGTTTCATCATTGTTTCAACCAAAATATATCGCCCGTTTTGACGACTTTTTCACTTAGCTGCGGCGCGCGCCAATTATAATTGTCTTGGCCCAGAGCCAAGTGCCGCGCGCGCGAAAACCGTATAGCCCAAGCGTATTACACGTAAGCATATGTATGCCCTGTGTGTGACCTCTTGCATTCCAACGAACTCCACTACTGTACGACTCTGGCCAGTTTGAATATCCGTTAAAACAACAGTCACAACTGAAGCAGCTTTGGGAAGAGACATATTGGCCCAAAATGAACAAGTTTTGTGCACCTTTCAACAAGATTTCAAGTCAAGATTTGGTTCTGCAATGGAGTACTGTTAACATTGGAGATGTTCCCAACCCCGATCCTAACTTCAAGTCAAGATACGACATCAAGATGTATAGGACAAGCACAAGTCAAGATTTCGATTGAACCGCAATCAAGATGATCTGATTTTGCAATGTCTGAAAATGGTAAGTTTCAAACGTGAATGTTTCCGAGTTAGAGATTTGCAATTTCTTTGAAGGTCAATAGTTGGAAATTGTATCTCTATTATATCTTTATTATGTTCCCTATCAGTCATGTCAGTTGTAACATTAAAATTCCATGGAAAGTACCTTAACTTCACTGTAGAAAGTTGTTAATGTTAGACTAGACATGTTGGATGCTATTGTCATTTCATATTTTAAAAACAAAGTTACACTAACGGTGCCCTTTATTTAAACATTGAAGAAGTAGAAAATCCTAACTAATCAGCAGTCATGCATGTTCTGCCCGCTTTCCATCATCATGTCCAATCTTTATTTAGCCCTAGGAAAAATGAGGTCATTTTAAAGTATATCTCAACATGAGACAAGTTTCCCACACGTACTGGGTTGATTGAAGATTTAGAATATTCAATTTATTGTGAATTTAACTGCACCGCAACATATTCCGCATCCGGCCTAACTCAAACGATCGGAATGTCTCTTTTATTTTTTACAGATATTTTGATACAGATACGTTTTCAATCTAGTTTTAAAAGTGTTCAGAGTTTGGGAATCACTTATGACGATACATTATGCCACTTTTCTTTTGTTGTGTACTCTATGTCATGTTTTGTTAATAACACGGCGTACGCAATGCTAAATAAATGTTAATTATTTTTTATAATTATTAAGAAAGTTACGGTGCTTGCAATTTTAAATTTTTCATTAATTAATTTCAGTAATATTCGTTTCTTAGAATCGCATGAAATTGCCCATTAGACTTAAAATAGGCCTATGCTTCGACTTGTCTTCTTCATGAGAACTATTTTTAATACTTATTTCGGATTTCTGAAAATTAAACTTTTGTTTTAATTATTTACGAGTCATCATTATTTTAAAAATGTGTTGGCATTCAAGAAAATTGACAATGTTGTTCATTTTTTTCCCTTTTCCAGCTCTCTGCTTTGGTCAGTTGAGGGAGACGAATACACTACCTAAGCCCTACTTTACGTGGCACCATGCACCATCAGGATCAACATCGACCGCCTGATGTCTTCTATACCTGCACAAATATTCACAAAAGAGATTAGAGATCATGTCTGTGTTGGTTGTGATTCAGTGTTTGATTCAAAGGCTCAAACCGACGTCTATTTTTTTTTATTTCATGTCCAAATTAAGTTGAACTGTGGTAATGAAATCTGATGTCAAAATTGATCGGCCCATCAACATTGAACATTTGAAGCGTCTATTTGCCATTGTTTAAACCTGTCAGACTGACGCCACTATTTTTACTATTAACTAAAGTTAGAAAACTTAACACTGTTATTTCGGTTGTGTACTATGTCAACCTAGCCAACCAGTTGTGTAAAAAAACTGAACAAGTTGTGTAATATTTTTACACTGTTGTGTAAACAACAGTTTACACAACAGGTTGCTAGGTTCATATAGTACATAACCGTTTGATTTTTACACAACCGAAATAACAGTGTTCAACGTCTACAAAAATTACATTTGCAACCATGTACTGACCTAACTTCAACCATGAAATCCGAACGTTGAAAGGACGTTATTACGACGGTCAGATAGACGTCAATTTTGACCTCACTCAGACGTTATAATGTGGTCATTTTTCGACGTCTAAATAACTTCAACCGCGACGTCCTGTCGACGTCCATATAACCAGTCAAATCACGGTCAGACTGACGTCATAATTTGACTATATTCGGACGTTAGCTTTCGGTCAGGTTTTCGACGTCCAAATAACTGACACTTTCAACCATATTCTAACCTAAATTCAACCAACAATCTGACGTCCTGTCGACGTCCATGTAACCAGTTAATCATGGTCAGACTGACGTCATAATTTGACTATATACAGACGTTAGATTTCGGTCAGGATTAGCAGTTAATCATGGTCAGACTGACGTCATAATTTTAACCACATACCGACGTTAGAATTTGGTCAGGTTTTCAACGTCTAAAAAACTTACACTTACAACCACGACGGCAACCAAAAAACAACGTCGGAGTTGGTCGGAATCTGACGTCAGATAGACGTTAAACCGACCAAAAATGCCTGCTGGGGTGTAGTACGTGTTTTCGCGATCATTCGTCCATTCCTTCTCGAAAAATACTAATTTCCTTTCCAGTTTGTTCATATTAATATGAAATGTTTTACTGCATGTTGTCTCGATAAGATCGCAACAGTTTAATTTTTAAAAATCGTGTTTTCGTAAGTCACGCCGTGCTCGTGCTGCGACGAATTGACTCTGTTTTTACCCCAGACACCGCATACAAAAACAAACGCTAATGTAAAGCATATCCAAGGCACCACACTATTCCTCATTTGCATACGTGTGCAAAAATCTTGCACATGCAAATGATCCAATACCAGGGTGAGAGAGCAGGTAGTGATGGGCGCGTACTGTTCGACACCCTGGGGACGAGGTTGCGGGAGGTCGATGGTCACAGTGTGCTGCTGTTCGTAAATGTTTGCGAAATGACGCATGGGTATTCCCCTTCCATAGGACTGTATGTATCTCCATGCTATAAATGTAATTCCGTGAAATCCATGCGCGTATGAATGATGACCTAATTTATCGGGCATTAAATGTATAATGAATCGTCGCCATCTTGCGCAGCGTCGCCTGCATGCACTCGAACTTGGTCACGTCTGCGTCCATCAAAAGCCTGTCTGCTTGAAGCAACTTCGTCTCTCTCGCATGATTACTAGTACGGTCATATCAGGTAGGCGTACATTTCCAGTAAATTAAACGGAATCCCAGTCCTATAATTTGAATTCATGGCTCTACGCTACCCACAAAAGCACTCAGAGATCAGTGCGTGAGGTGATGCCATTCTATGACTAATAATTATATTTACAGCTGCGGCCCTGATGTATTAACATTAATTTTGTTGCACTTGTTGACAAACAATTAGGCAACGTGGCTGAATTAGCCTAAACTATAGGCCCCATTTTACAAAAGGCCCGCTTTTAAAAGTATTTGTCCGGGCGGTAACATTATAGAGGGGTAGTAGGCAATAAGGTGTCATCATAATACAAAGGTTACCGGCATTAAATGTTGTCCTGCGTTCTAGTTATGTTTTAGAACGTTATTATTATGATCTATTAATTAATTAAGCTGCAATTTTCTGCGTCTGGGACGGGGTGAAAGCACTGGTGGATCCAGAAGGGGGCGAAGGATCCCCCCGTCCCTCCCCGCCCCTGGCAAAAGAGTATCAAACTGAAATTGCCATAAACTATTTAATAATTATCAATTGGTCGCCATCCAGCCCAACCACCCGCAAACCTCGGCAATGGCCGCAGCCTCCCCCCCCCCTTCTACCAGAAGGTCAAAGTTAGGTGAATTTAAAATACAAAAAGAAGCCTCGAAATCAAATCGAATCTAATTTCTTCCAAACTATTCACAGGATGATAATATAAAGCTGATATAAACTTGAACCCTGGTTCGAAGATGTGAAGAAAATTCTGACGTCATCATGACGTCATCAGGTATCAAATCATTAAAGGGCACATGTAATGGAATTTTGTTAATGCAATCCTTGAGAATGTGTCCCATTTGACTTGATTTTAAATTGTTCTGTTTTTAAGGGCATTTTGGTGCATTTTTGTTATTATGCTAATGAAATGTCCATATTCATAAGCAAAAGTGTGATGTCATTTCAGGCAGAAACTTCAATGTTACAGCTACTTTAGGACCAAACGTTTTCAGAATTTTGGATATTTTGCGGTAGTGATATTCTTTTCTTTGGCCATTGTTGTTTCAGTGCAAGACAGTAAGCCATTGAGCAAATTTTTCTCAAATATGTTTTCTGTGAGCACACGCAGGTTTTGGTCAGGCGCGGTTCTAGAGCCTATATTTTAGGGGGGGGCTAGCAGGGGGATCATTAGCTACTGCTGTTAAATTTTAAATTTTTTGTTCGGCAATTATTTTTTTTTTGGGGGGGGGGGAGGCTAAGGCCAAAAAAAAAAGTCTCCGGTTTCTGGTATGCGCGCGCGTCGCCGTAGCCATGCGCGTCGGCAAAATGAAAAAGTTTTTTTTTTCAATACAAGATGATGATTCAAAACCGCCAAACTCACTGGTTTGACTGGAATTCTGCTGCTGCACAATTTTAACGTGTTTTTAGAAGGAGTTATGATCGAGAATAAGCTTTATGTGGCCTCTCTGGACTCCCATATATTTGCACTAAGTTTAGTCGGGCACCATTTGCAGTCATCAGCCGACATTTGAAGCCAAAAAAAAAAAAACGGGTACAAAAAAAAAAGCCGCGTCGCCGCACCACTTTTGGGGCAAGCTCCATACCAGAAACCGGAGACTTTTTTTTTTTGGGCCTAAGGTCAAAGTTTTAATCATTTCATTCAAACTTTAACTTTTCAAGGAATGGATTACCGCTCATGTTCTTAATGATCAGTTAGACATTGCCTCGGGAAATAGTTTGGATTTCCCGGCACAAACATTTGCCCTTTACTTCTGGTGTTCCTGGATGTGCAATGAAAATTGAATACAACGTAAAAACGGAAGCATTTTATAACAGAAAAAATAATTGAATACGGTTGTGTTGAGTGAGGAATGCTTAACACACAAAAAAAATGCATGATGACGTCAGCATGCACCCAGAAGGTCGCCCTCTACCTCTAGTGGCATGCACATCAAATAAGTTGAACTTGCTTGAATAAAAAAATAACTTGCCAATTTATTTCAAATTGCTCTTAGATATTCTTATGACAACGGCAAGTGACTTTGCAAGGTTTCAGATTCCTGACGTAATCAGACCGAAAGTTATTGTAGGGAGAATTTCAAAATGATGAGTTTTCGTTTTTTTCAGTTTGCACCAATTTATTTGCTGACGTCATCAATCCGGAAAATAACGTGTTCTGTACATAAAATGTACTAAAATTTATCATATCCTAAAAGATGCATTTTTTTCTCAATTAAAACGAATGGTTTTACTGGAACGGCTGAATTTCATGATTATTTTTCGTTTTGATATATATGTAGTTTTCGGCCCAATCACTCAGCGTTTGTAACTTAAAAAACGCGAATCTCTTTTTTTTCCCCTTCGCTGTAAGTTCTAGGACTATGTATTATTTGGCCACAACAAAATTCTTTACTGCACCATAGCCGTGACTTTATGGTGGGGGGGGGGGGGTGAATAGTCAATCATGGTCGTTTTTATAAGGCAAGCATAAACATGTTGTTCGTAGGGACAAGATGGCGATGGTGTACTGTAGTGGTCACGTTTTGAATCACGGCATGTGCACCACGATCGAAGATTCCACACGAGTACATCTCATGGGTTTTCCTCAAATACTTTCAAATTCCTATTTCTTCGTTTGGGTCATCGCCCTTAAGGGAAAACATGAAAACAAAAAGTAAATAAATCATTAACTTCAAAGATCGTCTTCAACTTAAATCCATAGTATTAAAAACATTAATGATAAGTTGCTTTGTTCCCTCTCCCCGCCTTTGAAGGAACAAGATGTCGTTCGATGAGCTGAAGGAGTTGGGGAACAAGCTCATGAGAGCGAACCCACCTGACTACGAGGGCGCCCTGGCTGCCTACAGTCGCGCAATAACACTAAGCCAAGACAAAGTAGCTGCTTGCATCCTGACAAACCGCAGCCTGGCATACCTGAAACTGAATCGTAGCGAGCAGGCCATTGAAGATGCTGACCTTGCCATTGCGATTGACCCACAGTGGGCTAAGGGCTACTGGAGGAAGTGCTGCGCCCTCACGGCACTGGGAAGGTACCATGAGGTCCTTCCGGTTGCACAGGACGGATTTAAACTTCTTAAGAGCAACGTGACCTGTCGAGAGTTCGTGGCCGCCTGGCTGAGGGCCTGCCAATTGATTTTCAGCGAGTTCGAAAAAAAGGTGGCTCTACCAACCGGCACGGCTGTACTCTCGGAGAGCTACCAGGACATTCTGATGTTCTCGCTTTTCTCTAGGACATCCACGGCCGCGGGAATGACGGAGGATCAGATGGCTGTGTATCTGAAGCGCACGGCGGAGGAGTTCCAGCGAATCATGACAGCATTCGGACAGCCAGAGTGCCGTTCGTTGATGGATTGGGTAGAGGCTGTCACGGCAAATCTGGACCCCACAGCACCGGGCATCCCAGTTCAGCTGCTGGAGACTTCGCTGAAGAAGACCGATCAGTTCTGCTCTGAGCTGTCCTCACTGCACGTGGCTCTCGCGGACATAGCCCAGCCCCTTGTCGCCTTGGCTATGATAGTCATCCTGGCCCGGACCTATGTTCTGAACTGTGCAAACATCTGCCATCGAATCATACAGTACAAGCTGCACTTGTGCTTGCCAATCTTTGAGAAGTCAATAATGAACGCTCCGGAATACATCGGCCTTCACCTGGGAACTGAAGGTGGCTTTCTCGACTCCTTCGTTGGGCGAGAAAAGCTTACAGCAGACGACACCTCACTGATGGAAGAGCACTGTGACAAGATAGACAGGCTTCTCATTGCCTACCCCAGGACGGCATGGGAATACTCGGATGTGGTCGACATCAGCTCTCGCATTGTTGCAAACGTCAGGAATTTTGTAACAGCGAGAAGGACTGGGGAGTTTGTCACCTCCCGGGGGCTCCCCACAGAACCAGTGAAGATGAACGCGGAGTTTGCGAGGAGAGATGCGGGCAAGTGTCCAGACAAGGTCAGGAGTTACGTCAAGGAGCGACTAGAGGAAGTGAAGGAGAAGCATGGAGAACAACTATTCATACGAGATGGTGAAGACCTGCTGACGTTGACAGGTATCAATCCCTTGAATATTGAACTGAACATTTATTTCTATGTTCAGTTAGTATAAGTGACAATACTTATGAGTACATATAATTATGTACATGAATATATAACAAAGTAATCAAACAACATAATGTAGACCAGTAGAATGAATTATAAAATTGGAACAATGTTAGATATAGGATAAAGCAAATTGCTTTTGAGCCCTAACCTTAAAGGTATCTTGCCTGTTGTGTTTGTTTTTTCAAAGGCAAAGTTATCTCATGTTATACGATATTCATGTGATTGGAATCAGAGTGCTCTGCAAAAGGAAGTTTTAACAATCTCACTACAAGTGGTACATGTATTCTCTTGGCTGTATAATTTTATATTTTCTAGTTGTCAACGTTATTTATCTTTTAATAGACGTCTGCCTGCGAATCAACGAGACGGATCTGGCGAAGGAGGTTTTCCAGTTGGGGGAAAAGGTCATGTTTACCGTGTTTGGTCTACAGATGGCTTTTGGCGTGATGAGTCTCGATGATGCACCAGCACAACTCTCCACAGTCAGACAGGACGTCATGATGAACGCTCTTTTACTCAAAGAAGCTGAACCGGGACTTGTCGTCGACGTGGCCGTTCGCTGGAGGTCACTGCTGTCTGAATTCCGTGCCACCCTCATCCGGCACGGTCTCGGACGGAACTACCTTGACACATACTCCAGCATCCTTAACCTGCAAGCCACTGGCAATCTCCAACAGCCTTACCGCCCCGATGTTATCCAAGACCTGAGGAAAGCCCACGAGGACAAAGAGATGAGGTTCCTCCGGCAGCATGCGTACCAGTGCTTCAAAGCCGTCGTTCAGACCCCAACAGCTGCCCGCATCCGTGCGGTACTAGAGCCAAATGAAATGGTTCTGGATTACATCTTGCTTGGAGAGAATGAATCGTTTGAGGTGGATTCTCGGGCAGTTCTGAGAATGTATCTGCTCGTGGTAGGATATGCGCAGGAGCCAAATTGGTTTTCTCTCGATAGCAGCAAGTGCTCATCTGCCGTTTTAAAGTGGCGTGAAGCGCTCAACAAATCGGTTGCTCAGATGAATGATCCTGATTCCGATAATGAATCAGAGTTGACAGCTGCGAGTATAAGCTTGACGGAGGCAGTCTTACCCGACGCTGTGTTACGGCAGCTGAAAGGTGAGCACGTGAGGCATGTTTACATCGCGCCAGATTTGATGCTGACAGCTCTCCCGCTCGAGCTACTGCAAGACGCAAGCGGTGACTATATCTTTGATACTTGTTCGGTCTGCTACATCAGCTCGGGGAGGGAACTTTTGCGAGAAGTAGTCCTCCGTCAGGTGGTACATGTAGTTCAAAGCACGAGGAATCAAACCCGAAATCAAGATCTTGCTGAAAGTCAGACAAAGGATACGGGCAAAGCCGCTGAAGGTAGCAGAACAGATGAAAATGCAGGAGGGGTAGCTACGGGTGGGATCGGTGATAACAGCAGTGAACAGGCCAAGACGGACCACGATCAAACTGCCGAGAAGAAGCAATCTTCGGGTACCTCTGTTGGTGAGAAGAATCGGCAAGGTGTGCAGACATCACAGAGAAAATGCCTGTCTACTTCATCAGATAATACAGATTGCTTCATCATCGGTGATCCAAACTTTGACCTAAAAGATTCATCGGGTGATAATAACAAAGACCTCGTCCAGATGCTGATGGACCTTTGGAAACCTCCAAGCACCGGGCGCACCGTTAACCGGTTACTGCACAGTAAAGAGGAGATCGACAACGTGGAAGGAATACTGACAATGTTGCGCCCAGAGCTGAATGTCCATCCAATTTCCGACGATGATGCCACCGTCTCAGCCGTCCTGAGGTTGAAGTCTCCCTTTATTGTCCACATTAGCAGCCACGGCTTCAGTCAGGCCAACGTCAGTGTCTACCGCGGAAATTTTTGGGATGACACCAAATCGGCAGTGGTTCTGGCGGGGTACAATACGTACGCCTGCAGGCGCTACGAGGAAATTGATCTGCGCACCGGGTCGGGTATGCTGTCCTCCTTGGCCATGTCCGGGCTGGATCTTCGGGGGACGCGACTGGTCGTGCTGTCCATGTGCCTGTCCGGAGTAGGTGCGGCAACGTTCCAGGAGTCCGTGAGTAGCCTAGCTGATGCCGCCCGGGCAGCGGGAGCTGAGACCGTGGTGGCCACCTTCTGGAAGGTCCTGGACTTGGACGCGGCCGAATTTGTCAAGCACTTCTACAACCGACTGTGCCAAACCGACGTGCGTCCGTCACAAGCGATTAAAGAAGCTAGGGAGGAGATGAGACAAGATCCGAGGTATGCCCACTGGTATCACTGTTCAGCATTTGCTTGCTTCGGCTACGATCTGCCGCTCTTTCCAAAGCACAGTTAGAAAGCTTCATGCTTAGCTTGGACCTACAGTCACCAAATTGGAGTGGAATCATTTCAAAGGGAATATCGCCCCCACTGATTATCAAATAAAGAAACGCTGCTCAAATGTTTCATTATAATGTGGCATTCTCCAACAGATAAGATGACTTGTGGGAATTCTGCATATCTGAAACATTACTGACAGTATAATTTAACATTGAGGCAACCCGAACAAGTTTATGAGTCTCTGCATGTGATTAATGTGGACTTTATCATATTTTGTCGATTGCAATCCAAATTTTAACTATCATGAAAAAAAGTTATTTCTGACTTTGATAGAACTGGTACTACAAATTAAAGCACATACTTCCATAAGAAACTCCCTCAACCACCTCTGGGGCCATGTGCTGGCTGTTCGGTAACACCACGCCTTCTTAGCCGAGTCGAATATAAATACCGGAGGAGGTAGGCCTATCATCATGGTGGGTCCCGGAAAATTTTGGCGGCCCAGACATTAACATTGTGCAGGTCGTATAGTAGTACCATCCGGCATTAGGCAAGGCAAGAAGTCACCTGGATATATGTCAAGGCATATTTGGATGTAGTCCAACGTCGTCAAGGCGGAAGGTATAGTCAGCAGGGAATAATAGAAGTCATTGGATGTCAGGTTTTGGCTCCGTCGCCAATGATGAACGCCATAGCAAGAGTTGTCTGATCAATGATGTTGCACAACTCAAAGTGATTTTGCACAGCCATCATCAGGTTCGGATTAAGCGTTTCGTAGGCCTTAGGCACAAGTGTTCCGTAGGCCCTACTCCGCCCAACTTGAAGGCACTGGCACAAAATTCATGATGTTGATCAAGCAGGCCAAACTAGTATAGTTCCTAGCTCTAAGTGTAGGCACCAAGGGCGTCCATTGCTTCTCAAAAGTTCGGGTGGGTAAAACATGTGTATCTTGATCAGAACTAATGCGAGTGCGAAGCCTAAACGGCGTGGGGTTCGGGGCCCGCCCAGGGACCCCGAATTTGTTTTTGGATTCTTGACGCTCTGTGGTGCGATCTGAGGCAATTTCCGACCACTTTCAACATTTTTTTTGCAAAAGATCAAACATCATTTTCGTCTTTGGAGTCAGTCGAATCAGCTATTCTGAGCTATAGAATCAAATGTAGGCTACAATGTTTTTTATTCGGGAAAGAAAATAGTTGGGGGGAACGACATGTCCCCCCGTCCCCCACCGATCGACGCCCATGGTTGGCAAATGTTTCAGAACGTGAGACTTCAAACGTAAATTGCATACGTATAGGCCTACATGCATGCCTACATGCTGTACAGCGTCAGTTAGTGAAATCGAAAATTCTGAGAGAGACCCTAAAACTTTTAAAAACTTTTCTCTGCGTGTGGGTGTATGTGGGTAGGCATATATGCCTTGTGGCACACGTTATTAGGCCCCAGAATTTTTCGTAGGCCCCAGAATTTTTCGTAGGCCCTAGGCACAGTGCCTACTGTGCCTTTTGGACAATCCGGGCCTGGCCATCATGCATCTGATCCATGGACTTAGCAACCGAGGGGTGCAAAAGGGGCACTTCCCCCACCCCATCCCGCAAAAGCAACAAAACAAGGAGAAATTAAAAGAAAATGAAGAAAGAAGACGAGGGGCGAATCGTATTACTGTTAATTTAATGTATATTTCACAACATGACTTTTTTTTAGCAAAGCGTCGAGTGATGTCAAGCACCTCCTCTCGATTTTTTTACGGCCGATAATTTCTCCCTTCGCTTCCGTCGAGTGATTTGCCCCCTCTAGAAGAAATCCTGGCAACGCGCATGATCTGATGTCCTTGATCAACTTGAAAAGATCACAATGGCTGTTAATTAATAAAGAGTGGTGGTAATTAAGGTAATCAGCGGTTCACAACTTAAAATGTCTTCTTTATAGTGTCAAAGTTAAGTGAAAAACTACTTATTATTTTACAAAAAAAGAGCGATTCGTATTACATGTAATGTCAGTTATCGTGAACACATTCCCTTAAGGTTTTTCGATTTGAGACCTTTATTACCCACATTTGGGTAAATAACATTTGGGCAAATAGTTTACTCCCATGTTGTTTCAGCAATTTTTTTTTTTTACTTTTACCTCGAATGTTCATTCATGATACTAGAAGCGTTACGTTTATTCCAATAGAACTTCAATGTTAAAAAATGGCCTTGTGGCCTTGTGGCTTTTGAATAGGCTGATTGACTCAATTAAATCATCGTAAGTGTATCTACATTCACACACAAAATGAAAACTTAATTGCTTAACTCTTATAATGTCTACTGATATGAATAAGTACTTTACTCCTGCTTATGTTCCTGTTTGTCCCTGCGTTTTTGTCCCTATTCATTACTTGCATTGTAATAGTATTTAGTCCAATGAGGTACAAACGCTATGCTTGTTGATTTATGATAAATGTCGGTTTGGATTAAATTTATATCCAATATAATACATGGAACATTAATTTGTATATGAGGAATAACGTTGAATAAAAATGTGTAGCAAATTGAAGTGGTTTTAAAGAATTCTTTCCGGGAAAACTGTGTCACACTTTCAGTCGATCCATTCAGTCGCATACAGGCTTAAATATTATCGTAGTACGTGCATGCCCGTGTAGTTGATGAATAATGTAGGGAACAAGTTGCGGCAAATCCTGTTTTAATTCAACTAGGCCTACTATCCTGTAAAGCATAACATGTCATGGCCCACACATTCGGCACTCATCGTGATCAGAATTCACTCCATGAACATGATAAACCAGACTTTGAAGTTAAAGGGAATGTACAACATTGGCTTTTGCTGCAATTTTCAGAAATAAGTGCATGCATTTGGAGGATTTATATGTTTTAGCAAAAATTGTTTAACTGACTTGTTTCACGTTTTTGGCTTGTAGATGCTGGAAAAACCAAGAAAACCAATTATATTCTTGTAGTCTGGTTCCCTGACCCCACTTACGATGAAATGGAGCAATTTATAGACTTTGGGGAATTTTGCGGTCAGAGTATCAATTTAGCTGGCTTGTACCCATTCACAGGTGAGTAATCAATTGCAAAGAAGATGTGGAATAACTAAATATAAGAAATATGGAGTAGTTTATGAAAATAGCCAGTTTTCTCCAGTGCTGGTCGGCCGACCAGCGTTGGAAAAATAAAAATTTTCTTGAAAATGTCAGCACACCAGGAGCCACAATTTTACAGGATGCTTTAGACTGTCATTCCCTAACAATCCAGTAAGGTATTTCGTGATAAGTGGATCATTTCGTTTTTTGATGTTTGCAAATGTCGTATCTTCCCTTTAAATGAGCATTTAGTTAACTATGCTCATAAACTGAAAAAGTAGCCAAAGCAAAATGAGATGACTAGGTTTACAGGATCCTATAGCCCCATAAACAGTGGCGCACCCAAGTGTGTGTGTGTGGGGGGGGGGGGGGGCGCCTGGTGGGGGGGGGGGGCTTGAGCCCCCCCCCCCAGAGGTTGTGAATTTGTTAGTTTGTTTGTTTGTTTTTTGGATAGTATGTGGCATATTTTCGAGTAGTATAATAGGGTTGTGAGTGGCGCCACCAACGTCAAAATAGTCTGCCCTCCCCCCCCCCCCCCCCCAATTTTTATTTTCTGCGGCCAAAAATGTTTGGCAAGATTTTCGACAAAAGATTTAACTTCTAAAAAATGTGGGGGAAACAATCTGGAGCGCCACTGTCCACAAAATGTGACCCAATTTACTGGACTATACCTCCGAAAATAAAGGTCACACTTGGAACATGTACCCGAATATGTACAACGTTGTCACGGTTTTATTTTCACATTTAGACTTTGTTTGTAGTTTATTTATGCTTTAGAAGCACACTTACCCACCCTCTTTAAAGCGATAGAAAATTATTTCCCCCCCCCCCCTTTTCAGACGTCTATTTTTCGTGTAATTTCGTGTTTAAGATACGCTAACGTGTGCAAAATGAACCTGGAAATGACACAATGTGTAAACGTCTGAAAAAGGGGGAAATAACTTTCTATCGCTTTAATCCTAAAAAAGGACCATCTCTCAGCCGGGGGGGGGGGGGGGGGGCATGATCTCGGCCATCGAGTGAAATTTTGAAACTCGGTACATGCATAGAGCAACTCTTACCCAAGAAACTGTCATGACTATAGGGCAAAGGGTTTTGGAATTATGGCTAAATAATTATTCATATGTAGGAATGGCAATTCCGCTCTGTGTACACGACGTGTATGGGAATTTTTTTTATGTTTTTGGTATCAAAAGATGCGCAAGGCTCGAGGCTAAAAAGTCATAACAGCTCGGGTCGCGAAAAAATAATGTTTAAGGCTATTGCGGAAAAAGTTGGGGGGGGGGGGGATTCCGCCCCGGCCCTTTTAGGGTTAAAGACGGTGAGTGTGCTTCTCAGGCGCGGATCCAGAGGGAGGGGGGGGGGGGCAAATTAAAAACTTGACAAAGGTCTACATATTCGGGTACATATGTTTAGTGTGGCCTTTATTTACGGAGGTAGTCCAGTAAATTGGCCACATTTATGGGGCGGCAAGAAATTCCCAGACCCCTTCAAAAATCATGCCATGCCGCGAGGCTGCCAGATGACATTTGATGCTATTTGGGAAACTGGCAAATGTTTGCGGAATTCGGAACTTTAGTCTTTATTCATCTGCTCTGAGAAAAGCTCGTTAGAGGGTGCAGACCAGTAAATCGGTCCGAAATTGCCTGCGCCGGCCAAATCACGATTTGCATGCCCTCAAAATCTTCGGTATTTGAGCATGCTGTGGGCCATGAACTTTGTAAAAAATATGGGTGGAAACCGTGCACAGGACTTGGAGCTTGCAGTTCTGTGTAATTTTGATGTAATTTGGACCCTAAAAGCGCTCTACTTTGCAATGGAGTGTAGGCATCGTTTTTCAAAATGGCGATGGGCTTCAGGACTATTTTCAGGGGTGTTCATCTTCAGATGGAAATTTCTCCTAAAAGTCATCAGTTGACCCCCCCGAAAATTGAAAAGAAAATGAAAGATGATGAAATAAGCTTTAATTTGATGTGTGTCTCGAACACCTTGGAGAGTTGTGAGTATTTTTCCCGAATTTTTGAAGTGGGAGAATTTACCATTGGGGTCTATGGAAGTTTATTTACTGGTCTGCTACCTTAGAAGTTTTCTTTCAAAATGGCTGCCCAAAATTGCAGAGCCCTTATAATGCTTGAGAACGAAGCAACACAAAAGTAATGGGAGTTGCTGAAACCAGTCCAAACCAAATACCCAATTGCTGGCTACGTGGATACATGGGATACGGAGTGGGAGTGCAGTGGAGCATGATCGACGCATTATTACGGGGCTAGCGCTAAAGAAGGTTTATTGAGCCTGGGCAATCAACCGTGACTCCGTAGCCGGCTACGAGGTGCATATACATGTAGATCGAGTGACGGGGTATTCTGCAATTGTGTCCCAAAACGGAGTGTGAAGTGACTGAATAAATTCCAGATCCCTGGATGAGTACCTTTCCATCAAAGTAAGTTTTGCTGCCTGGCGCCACAGACCATTTCCATTTTATTTGCGGAACCGGGCAATCCTACCTCCGGTTTTCACCTTTAAAAAAAAAATTAATTGAGCGCACTGTCCACTAGTGTCTAGCCCCATAAATGTGGCCAATTTACTGGACTACCTCCGTAAATAAAGGCCACACTTCCACCATGTACAAAAACATGTCAAACTCGGATGGGTGCACATCAGGTGTTCTACTACTATTATTAGTACTATATGCACATAGCCCTGGTGGACTCCCTTTCCTCCCTACGTTACGGAGGGAGTCCTGAGTATACATGTGCTCACA